GCCGTGGAGCAGCTGGGCCCGTGGGCCGTGGCCGCTGAGCCTGTGCGTCCGGAACCTGTGCTCCGCAGCGGGAGAGGCCGCAACAGTGGGAGGCCCGCGTACCCCCCCAAAAAAACCAAACAAACTTACTATACTTAAAATTAAACCTATTTTAAAATACTAACCCACGGGTTTAATTAATTCATTTACTCTCTCTGTAGTACTTTGTTTTTTTAATCTTCCTCGGATTATAATAATCTTCCCAGATTCTTATTTCTGTACTTTCCCAGGGTTTTAGTAATTTTTTTATACCTTCCTAGGGTTATGGTTGTCTTACCACTACCAAAACAAAACAAAATTTCAGATTAGTCAAGGTTTAGGGTTTGTTGATGGATTTGATTCTTAGGTAAATCACAAGATTTGCTTATGCCTTTAAAGATGATTTGAGGGCTTCCCTGGTGGCGCAGTGGTTGAGAGTCCGCCTGCCGATGCAGGGGATGCGGGTTCTTGCCCCGGTCTGGGAAGATCCCACATGCCGCGGAGCGGCTGGGCCCGGGAGCCATGGCCGCTGAGCCTGTGCGTCCGGAGCCTGTGCTCCGCAACGGGAGGGGCCACAAGAGTGAGAGGCCCGCGTACTACAAAAAAATAAAAATAAAAAAATTAAATTAAATTAAAAAATAAAGATGATTTGAAAGTTGCATTGGTGTGCACTTGGTCACTTCTGTAACTAAACTTGCCAAGTTAATGAGTTTTTTTTTTTTTTTTAAACTCCTGCCTTTTCTCATAGATTTTTAGTTTCTTGCAACCTGGGGTTACTCCCTGAATGAAATATTCTTCTTCTTCTTCTTTTTTTTTTTTTAAATGTGATTAGTATTTTATAACCCATTGTTCTGTTGTCATTATGAATTGCCCTTTTCTGGTAGCATTTCTGCCAGGAATTATGGACGTTTCATCTCCCAAGAAATCAGGGATCAGGTCTGTACCATTAGCTCTCTTTAGGATATTCCGCTAATCCATCCAGTTAGAGCTCAGGGTTTCTCCTTGGTCATTGTGTGTGACCATGGGTGCTCACCTACCACTGCGTTTCCTTTCAAATGGTGTGTGTGTGTGAGGACCTGCTCTGATCTGACTCTCCTGTTCTTGGTATATAACTTGCTTTTTCTGGGACTATTTGGCTTATCCACAGTTCCTTATATCTACCCCTTCCTCCTGTCACTAAACAAAAAAGTAAACAGCTATGCCTTATAAACAGACATAAACTTAATAGGAGAAACAAAACATCTAAATGTTAACACTAACCTAATTATTAGCATAATGACTATTATTTTGCCTTTCTTTACAATCTTTTTATATACTTTAACTTTTTTTTTTTTTTTGGCCGCACCACACGGCTTGTGAGATCTTAGTTCCCCGACCAGGGATTGAATACGGCCCCTTGGCAGTGAAAGCGCAGAGTCCTAACCACTGGACTCCCAGGGAATTCCCTAACTTTCTTTTTCGTATCTTTTTATGAATTCGTGGTTTATCATGGATTCAGTTTGTTCCATTTAGTTATAATTATTATTCTCTTTTTAATGTTCTAGTTGTTGCCTGGCCAACCTCAAGCTGGAAAGCATTCTTCACTTTACAAAGAACTCACTTCTGGATTCCTTTAAATAACACATTACAGTATACTTATCCTTCCACAATTATCTTACCTTAATTTGTATTACATTACTTTTAGGGAAGTTTCTATTATATAAAATCAATAATACCCATATTCTATACTTCCCATCTGATCCATATAATACTGACTGATTTGTTTATTTGGGTAACAGGCTGACCATGAGTAGTAAAATAGATTGAGAATAACATAACTCTCCTTAGTGGGCAAAGATCATGGACAAAGAAACTAGTGTATTAATATTAATTTAGAGCCTATAGTTACTAATTTTCACACTTAATTTCCATGGTAACAGGGAGTTCACTATAGCTACCTGTGCTCTGATTGTCAAACATGCATGAAATTTTTTTAAAGGAGGCTGTTACTGATCAAGCCAAGAAAGACATGTGATTTTTTTTTAAAGTTAGTGAATCATATGAAATTATTGTTTCTGTAGGTAGAAAATGGTGAAATATAGGCAAGTTAATAAGTTTAACTTACCAGTGTGCTACATTACTTTTGACGATGTCATATTTTTGTGAAGTGGGTTTTTGGAAATTGCTTTGATAAAAAACAAGTACTGTGTGGAACAGGGAATGAGGATGGTAGTGTCTGAACTGATTCCCAGGTTTGCAAAGTTATACAGTGCCCAGGTACACACATTGCATTAGTGGTTATTTTAAAATGAAATAAAATATTTTTCTTTCAATTTATGGGTATTATTTTTTTTAAAAACTACAAGATGTTAGGACATCATACTTATTAGGTTGTTTGGACTTGACATTCTATATTACTTTGGTAATGGTGTTTCTTTAACAGTAGTTCGACAAAGTTTCAATTATTTTTACACATGGCACCCTTTACCATAGCATTAACACTCACAGGCATAAGTATTGAACATTCTTGGGAGTTCTGTATTAAATCCTTCCTTATGTAGAAGACTTCTCCTGAGGCAGTCCCGTCTATGAGGTTGGGTGGAGCCTGTAATGACATGTGGCATGTAAAGGCCTTATAGGGTTTCTTGCCTGGAAGATTAACTAAGAGGTCGGCAGGAAGGAAGATTAGAATTAGGATTAGAATAGATGAAGAATCACCTGGAAGACTTGCAAAATCATCTCCTCAGAAGTACCAGAATGTGTTAGTGTGAATTATCTGTTCCAGAAAGGAGTCTGCTATTACGAGAATTTGATGACAGGTTGATGGCATAAGCATGAGGGGGCAGAGAAGGAAAATGGAGATGATAAATTCCTAAAATGGCTGTGGCAGAGACAGGTTTTGCCCATTTCTGGCCTGGCCTGAGTCAGTTTACTGTTGCTAGATTTAAGAGCAGGTTTAGGGGAAAGTGCCGCAAGCCTCAGCTGCTTCTAGTTCAGCCCAATCTCCGTGTGAATCTCAGTGGATGCTCCTGTTCTTGTACGTCCTGTGCTGTCCCTGACCTAACTCCTCTCCCAGGAGAGGAGGAAATATGCATCCTACCACCCAATTTTACTTTATGATCCATATAAAGTGCTTATAATCCCTCATTTGAGTACCCTTAGGAGTGCTTACTTCTGCTCTGCTTGAAAGCTCCCTCCTTCCCCATTCTTCATTCTTTCTTCTAGCGCAGTGACGCTAACCCAGTGATTCTAGTCCCCTGCCCTTTTTTTGCCTCTGTAGTTTTTTTCCTAATCCTTTTTTTAGTATATGTGCTGCCGAAGCGAGCACTTTCCTAATTCTTTAACCTTTCCATTTGTTTTCTTCTAAATTAGGGATCAGAAACTTAAATGCTTACAGGTATAAACAAATCTGATAAGGACTGTAACAAGCTGGAGAGTGCCCAGCTAAAGGGGAAAACTGTTTCTTTGTTCTACCTAGTTGTTGCCATGGGGGCGTCCAGACCCCTGTGCCAGACCTTGAGATGTTTCAAGAGAAGCAGGTAATCGGAGAATTTTGTATACAGTGTTTACATGTTGGCATTTAATTCAGATTTTAAAAACATAGTTGGATGCTGCTCCTGGACCAGGACTTAGAACCTCTGCTCTAGATCTTATGTTAAAATTGGAGCTCAAAATTGATAAGGGACCTATCTGTTTGTACCCTGTCAGTTATGCTCCATTTCACTCTCAGAATTGCTTTCTAGACAGTTGCAATTCTCTGACTTGTTCCTTGAAAGACTGTGTGTCTCTGAATGAAAGCATTTCATTTCATCTCTGAATGAAAGCAGTTGAGAAAAATACTGTTTTGACCTGAGTGTATCTAATGCTTTCTCCTCATGAAAGAGGCATTCACAGAGAGGCCTAAAACTGAGAACTAAGAAAATCTTCACTCCCAGAGATTCAGCAG